GGGTGGGGGGTGGGCCCCAGCCAGTCTCCTGGCTCCAGAACAGGAAACCCCACCGGGGGAAGTGTCACCGCGGGTCCCCTCCACCCTAGTCCCCTGGCCACAGCCCTGTACCCCAGTCCCGCCCCACCCTCCACCCAGACTCTGGCAGGGTCCCTCAGGGCAGCACAGAAGGGTCCCTGCCCCTCTCCCTCCCCCAGCCCTCTCCCCACGTTGAGCTTGCGATTTCTGTGTCTGCCACACATTCTCTGGCCCCCGGCAGGGGAGTGGCTGGAGGGACTAGGGCCCTGTGTCTGCCTCGCTGGTGTGTGTCTGTCTCCAGTTTTCTTGTCCGTGTGTCGTCCATGCCCTGCTTCTGCTTGCTCCATCACTCACTCCAAGAGCCCCCATGTGGGGAGACAGAAGAGGGGGGCAGTGGGATCAGCCTGGGGTCACAGCCGGGGACAGCAGGCTGGAGTGGACAACAGAGGGCCACCCTGATGCCTGCATGATCTGAAGGGTGGTAGGAACACTGAATGACCGGGCTGGGCAGCTGGACAGGGCTGGCTGGGTGGGATGGAGCACTGGGCCTTCCCATCCCCCCACCATGGGAGCGCCTCTTACACCCCAGGCTCTGGACTCCCTGGGGAGGCCTGCCCTCTCCTCAGCCGCTCTTGTCCTCCACACCCAGCCCTGCTCTGTCACTCTTGGCCCCACAGTGTCAGACAGGCCTTGAGTAGACACTTGCTCACTATGTAGCCATCTCAGATCCCCGCCCAGCTCTCCTCCCCAGACCAGGCCAGTGGGGCTGCTTTTAGATGCCTGAGGCTTCCCCATGGGTCAGAAAGACTGCAAGGACATCTCAGTAGAGAGTAGGGACAGTCTGCACCCTCTGCCAGGGGCCACAGGGAAGGACGGCTGCCAGCCAGCTGTACCCGCCAGCCCACCTATGTGTGAAGCTGTGTGGTTTCTGCTGGGAGGCCTTTGTGACCCTAAGCTCCTCACACAGGTTCTGAGAGGGGCAAAGGGACAGTCTAATCAAGGGGAAGCCCCTTGACCCACCATGGGGGCTTCCCAGCTTGTAGAGCTGAAGTCTGTGGGCCCCCTTCCCCCTAGGCTCAAAATGAGCTCAAATGTGCTCCAGTCTGAGTGCAGTGGCCTGGGCATTTTTGGGTACAGCCTACAGACCCAGGCTCAAGATTTTGTTTTCCCGCTTTTAGCAAGGGCCTCAGGAGACAGATGAGGGGAAGCAGACAGGCCGGGGGCATCCCTGTACTCCTCACCCTGCCCTGGTCTCCCAGCCGACGCCTCAACTGGGCGTGTGTACTTCTTCTTTTCCAGCTCCTTCCAGAACTCACAAATCCTGATGAGCTCCTCTCCTACCTGGACCCCCCCGACCTGCCGAGCAATAGTAACGATGACCTCCTGTCTCTCTTTGAGAACAACTGAAGCCCACCCCGTCGGGGGCTCCCCCCACACTCTGCCTCCTCCCCCCGCCCCACACACTTTTCCACCTAGGAGCCCGTGCCCTCAGACCTCCCCTCGCCCGGAGCCACAGGCTGAGGGGCGGGGAGCCCTCTCCTGCCGCAGCCCTCATCACAGAGGGGCGAGGAGGGCACGCCAGGAAGGCCGTGGGTCTGGAGCCTGTGTCCTGCCTGCACACCCTGGGCTCGGGCCCAGGCCCGGCGCAGGCCCCGAAGATGATCCTCCTGAGGGAACCGGTCAAGTAAGAGGGCACACGCTGGCGCGGCTTCCCGGTCCCTCCATGTGTGCTGGTTCCAGATGACCTTCCAGTGCCCCCAAGGTTCTTCCATTTTCTCAACTGTGACTCTGCCTCCTGGCCCAGAGCCTCCTTCGAGTGACTGTGGAGCCTGAGAGAAGGCCCCCCCAAGACCCAGGGTGGGTCCAAAACCTTAGAAGAGCAGTGACGGTTGGTAGCAGTGAGACTGGCCTGCCCACCACCACCCACCACAGAAAAGCACAAGCCTCCGGGAAAGAACATCTCTCAGGGGCCAAGTTTGACCCCTGACCTCTAAGCCAAGATACCCTGTAAACATGCTCTCTCGGAAAGCAGAGAAAAAGGACAGGATTCTGTGTTCACGAGAGGGTATGCCATTCCTGCTTGGGGACTGGTGGGAAAGGAGGCCAGGACCTCCCCAGAGCCAGGACATCTCGGATGGCTTCACCACCTTCAGGCTCAGCTCAGCCTTGGGAGACAGTGCACACGTGTGCCCAACCAAAATGACTGTGCCCTTGGTTGGGGGGCGAGGGGGGGATGCCGCCAGCTGGAGTCAAACAGGAGCAGCAACTTAAAACTTTGCTCCAATCCACTCCCTGTTTTTAAACAGCAACAATTTAAAGCTTCATGAAGTCACCTGGAGAAAAGGAACGTTGCACTTGGACAGCAAGCAAACCATTTCTCTCCGCATTGTTTCCCCTTCCTCCTCCTTCCCCTCGCCCCTCCCGCTCCAAGACTGTTCCCTGGTACACCCTCTTCCCTCTGTGTCCTTGTTCTCTTTGTCCAGCCAGACAGCAAGACAGGCGTAGAAAGGCAGGGTTGGCGCGTGCACAGGAGCCCAGGGCATCGTGTCTGTTCAGCTTCTCTGCCTATCTGTCCCTGTGCTGAAGGTTGTCCCCACCTCCAGCCCAGGCCATCACTGTGTGCACCAGGATGTACCTGCCGGCATCACAGGCTGCTTCTGTGGCCGCCTCACATGCCTCCTGTGGCTGCCAGCTCCCTTCCCCGCTGTACCCTTCTTCCACCGAAGCTTACCCCACACTCCTGCTCAATCAAGCAGAGGCAGCCCGGCCTTCCCTCCTCTGCACTCCATCCTGCTCAGTGCTCTCTGATGTCTCTTGGGGAGCTTGTCCTGCGTCCACTTTGTTTCGGGCTCATCTGTGCCCCACCCCCCCAAGCCACACGGCCTGGGGCGATGCCGGGTTGTCCCGTCACTTGGGTCCCACCTGTAAATTCTTTGCCCCCTTCCTTGCCACTGCCCGGGCCCTTTCATGCACTTCCGTCCGCTGTGGGTGTTTTCTGGCTCCCGCTGTGTGGTGGGTGGTCCCAGCGCTTCTTGTGGATTTTACCGAAAAGGTGGCCCCACCTGTCGACTTCCAGTCACTGTCCCACATGGCACAAGGTTTTCTGCAGGAGACCTGCCATTGCCCCTGCCCCTGCCCCTTTTTTCCTTTGTCCTGTCATCGAGGTTTTTTCAAACAGCGTGTTGTTCAGTATGCAAATCAATTATTTTAAGAATCGCTTTTGTAAATATCTTTGTGAATATTTTAGTATCGTCTTTGATAATATTCAACATTTTCACAACCTGGTTTTAGCCTTTGCTGGTGTTTTTAAAATACCTTGACTCAAAGACCGAGTCTTTTTTTTTTTTTTTTTTTAAACTACGAAAACAAAACAACCAGGGCTATTTGTACAGATGAAGGGACAGCAAAAGAGGTGGCTGCACTGGGAATCAGAAGACTAGGGAACCTCTGCTTAGTGCCAGCCTCCAAGACAACGCCAGGTAGCATGTGGCCACCCTTGCCCAGTGCCAGTGACCCGGCAGGTGACTCTGCTTAGTTGGACCGTCTGGGGACTGCAGCTCCTGACAGACTTAAAGATGCCTTCCTTGGGAGTCCCTGCTTTCTGCCTTGATTCTTGGCCCCAGAAAGGCCTAGAGTCCATTCTGGCTCTTTTCAGGGTGTGCCCAGACTCCATTCGTAGACCTCTCCACGACTTTCTAGTGCAGAGGGTCTAGATACTCCCTGCAGCCCTGGCTCCAGGCACTTCCCCAACCCTCTCTGGGCTCGGCGCCTGAGGCTGCATTCCTGGGTTCCCTCCCCAGCAAGCCTCCACCAGCAACTTCGGCAAAGAGCTCTCCTTCAGCTGGCTCTGAGCCACGGTGCCTGAAGCCCAAGCTTTGGGGTCGGACTTTTCAAGAGTGAATTTGGAGCCAGGCCAGGGTGTGAGTGAGGTACAGAGGCATCCGGAGTGGGAACAAACCCCAAGTCATGACAGAAGCAGGTAGATAGCATCTGTAAGCAGAGGTGGTCCTGAGCTCTAGAGACTTCCCCTGTCGTTCTGGACAACTACTTGGAGCCATACGTAACCTCAGCAAAAACACGAGGCCTCAGCAAGCCACTTTTCCATGACGAGCATCCACCCAGCCCACAGGCATGTTTCCACTGCCACTCTGCAAGTCGGACAGGGAGTCCGCGGGCAGCGGAAAGGGCCAAGTACAGGCAATCACCCCCATCTTCTTGGTTTGAAGCTTTATCCATGTATCATGTTCCCTGTAGCCATTTTATTTTTTAAGAAACTGCTAATACTTTCTCCCTGATGGAAGCCCTGACCACCCACCCCCACTCCCACCCCATCCCAGAGAGCTACAGGTCTGCTCCCGACGGGCCTCGGGCCTGACCCGTCCAGACAGGGCAGCGTCAGCAGCAGCGACTCAAGGGACGTGTGTACATATGTAAATGAGAAATAGAGACATGTCAACAGATGCATTCATTTCTCTCGGAATGTGTATTGTTTTTATCTTACAAAACAAAACAAAAAAAAAGGCTTGGAACTCCCATCTTACGTGGAAAAACTAGAGATCCTGTTTGTTAGCGTTTGTGAGTTCTTCACACGTGTCTCACTCATGTAATATACTCTGACCCTGCGTGGAAAGGGATTTTTGTTCTGTTTTGCTTTTATTTTACCTACATGTACTATTTAGCTTCAGTGTACTAGTCCTACCACCTGTGTATTTTTAGGGTGCTATGGAAATAATGAAAAGAAACGGGGATTTCAGAAGAAAATTGTAACCAAATTCATACTTTGTATAATTTTTGATATCATGATCACAGGTGATTCACACGTACACACATAAACACACCCACACGTGCAGCCTGAAGTGACTCCCACAGAAACCGTCATCGTCTTTGTACATCGTATGTACAATGCAATCATTTCATACTTTCAACTGGTCAGAAAACTAATTGTGATTTCTAGTCTTGCAAAGCTGTATGTAGTTAGATGATGTGACAACCTCTAATATTTATCTAATAAATATGTATTCAGATGAAACCTGTATATTAGGTGTTCATGTGGTTATTTTGTATTTAAAGATCAAATTATTTGACTATTGCTAGACATTTCTATACTCTGTTGTAACACTGAGGTATCTCATTTGCCCATGTTAATTTTTTTCTAAATAAATGGACAAAAACGAAGGTTTGGCGAATTAGCTATTTTGTGGATGTCAACGAGTGGTCTGGGTGTTTTTGCCTTTGTTTTTAAAACACCACCCCTGCCCTGTCTCCCTCCACACACGCTAGAAAGAAAATAGGTGGTTTGGGTGTCGAATTGGAAGCGGCCCTGTTCTGGCCCTGTTCCGGCCCTGTTCCGGGTGTCCCTGCAGAGGTCCTGGAACCTGTCCCTGGGGGGATAAGCAGGGCGTGTATCTGGAAGGACTGACGAGGGAGGGAGTCGGTTGGGGCCAATGGTGGCCAGTCTCTGATAGTCCCTTGTGGATTGCTCTGGGTTCAAAGATGGGACTCTGCCACAGAGGGTTCAGAGGAAAACAAGCACAGCCAGGCTGCATAGACAGTGCTGTGTTGACCCTCTAAAGGCTTTCTCTTTTCTATGACTGGGCTTCTCTCACCACAGCCTCTGACATTTCAAGCATTGACTGCTCTCCCTGCATTTCTGATTGAACTTTTGGAGAAGTGCATCTGCTTGGCAGAGCCTGTCAGCCAGTCGCTGCCCTCTCACCACTTAGCCTAACCACTGGTGGACAGGAAGAAAGCAAAGGTGGGGTGGCCGTGGTCTTCCCTTGGCAAGGACTGTCCACAGAGGAAGTGGGGGCTGGGCAGGTGCCCCAAATATACCCATTCAAATGTATCTGGGTGTCTGTGCAGAATGTGTGTCAGGAGATTGTGAGGGCAAGTGTGAGGGGTTTGTGTGTTCAGGAACCAGCAGTGGGAAGGGAGCTGGGTGCCCAAAAGTCCCCGGGGACTACTGAGATGTCCAGAGTCTCTCCTTTTGGTGGGAGACGGAAGGCAAGGGGGAGAAGATTTACTTTAAAAATGAAATACAGCCAGGCTCAGTGGCTCAGCCTGTAATCCCAGCACTTTGGGAGGCCAAGGCAAGTGGATTACCTGAACCCGAGGGTTCGAGACCCGCCCAGGCAACTTGGTGAGACCACATCTCTACAATAAGTCAAAAACTAGTCGGGCGTGGTAGTGCGCACCTGTAGTTCCTGCTACTTGGAAGGCTGAGGCGGAAGGATCGCCGGAGCTCAGCAGGTCGAGCCTGCGGTGACTGGGAGCATGGCACTGCACTTCAGCCTGGGCAAGGGAATGAGACTCCAACTCAAAAGCAAAAGAAATACCAGCCACTACTAAGCTGCGGGCACTGCCTTCTACCAGCACTGCCAGGGCAGATGTGTTTCTCTGAAAACCCACACTCCTTCGCGAAGGAGGTGGTTAGTTAACATCAGGGAGTGTTCCCAAAGGGAACACACCCAGTTCTCTACTGCCTTAGAACTTCTCAATAACCATCCAGTGACCCATGGAGTCAGTGTGGCAGGACATGGCCGGCACTTTTTTTTTTTTGAGAAAGCAGGATTTATTGAGAAGACAGAAAAGCTTCCACAGTGGGAGGGGACCCGGAGGGGTTGCCCCGATCAGAACTTTTTAATGAACTAGATGAGACTAAAGTAGAAAATGCCAGGAGTATACCTACAGAGTAAAGAGAAGGATTATATCAAGACATGTTTGGGGTGTGTGTGTGTGTGTGTGTGTGTGTGTGTGTGTGTGTGTGTGTGTGCCTGCTGCGTCATGATGTTCTTACTTGTGGGTTGTGGTTAAAAACAAAAAGTTTAAATGCCATTGCCTTAAAGGCAGGAAGTAGGCAGGGGAGTGGGAAGAGGGAGGGCGGGCAGTGTCTTCCCTAACTTCGCAATAAGAAGCAAACTTTCCTGACATTTTAGCTTGAGCCCTTGAAACCAAGGAGACAGCTAAACACAGGCCTGTGGCTGCCCCACGTGGCTGCCTGAAGACTGACTGGCCCTACCCCAGCTAACTTCTCTGGAGGTGGGTACTTCTTTCCTTGGGCCTAACTCAGGAATGAGAAAAGTCCACTGAAAAAGCCCAGTGGAGGACCTGGCTGGGGCAGCTCAGCGTCCCCACACCAGGGGCCACACATCGTGGGTTATCTTGGATCTCTGTTCTTCCCCCAGCCCACCCTGCAAAAGCTCCACCCTCACCCCACTGACTGTGCCTCCACATAAGGTTGTGGGGTGCTCTTGGGGAAAGGCATTCAGCCCCACAAGTTGAAACCAGAATGCATTGGGGTCTCCTGCCTCACTGAGTCCTCAGGAGCACCCTTTTAATCTTGACTGGTCTCCCCACCCACCCATTTCCATTGTCCTCCGCTCCAGCCTCCTACTCAGCCACGCCCGCCTTGCTCTCGGTGGGTTCCTCAGCCACCACGCAGACCCCTCAACTCCCTCCTTCCTACCCACAGACCTACTTCCATCCACCCTCAACTGTATCTTCTTCCTCCCAGGCCCAGAGGATGTGGTGTCCCTTCCCCAGGCAGGGCCAACCCCTCCCCTGGCCCTGACACCGTCACCACCTTCTCTTCTGTGAGAGACTTCACTCCATCAGCCCCTTTCCTGTGCCTTCCCCCTTTCCTTTCCCAGGTTGAAGCCTCCCTCCGGAGCTGGTGCTATGAGGTCCAGCTCATGTTTATCTCCCCCCACCCCCAATGTCTAGTCTCTGCCCCTCCTCACACAGGCATCTCAGCCTGAGGTTACCCATGCTCACTCTCTTTCCTCAGTCACCCCTTAGATGCCCGGTTGGTGTGCCACCCATTCTCTGAAACATCTCTTGCGAGCTCACCAATGGCCTGTTGGCTGTTACTCCGTGCTGCTTGAGGAGACCAGACCTCTCAGCTGCACGTGACAGTTGCCATCTCTTCCTTGAAGATCTCTTCTCTTGGTGCTATGGTGCGAATGTTTGTCCCCTGTGAAAAGGAATCCCCAGGGTAACAGTATTTAGAAGTGGAGCCATTAAGAGATAATTGGGTCATGAAGGCTCTGCCTTTATGAATGGATTGATGCATTAATAGATTAATGAGTTATCATGGGAGTAGTTTAGTTATCACAAGAGGGGGTCTGTAGTAAGACCAGGCTGGCATGCTCTTGCCCTCCTTGCCACATGATGCCATCTACCTCCCCATGTTATGATGCAGCATGAGGCCTTCACCAGAGGCAGCCACCTGATCTTGAACTTCTCAGCCTCCAGAACCATTAGCTAAATAAACCTCTTTTCGTTATCAATTACCCAGTCTTGGAGATTCTGTGAGAACACCAGAAAACAGACTAAGACACTTGAATTCCATAACCATTCCCTCTTTCAGTTCTTCAGTTCTCCTTGAGTCCCTCTGACTGCTCCTTCTTTGTCGTCTTCATCGGTTTCTATAGTAACTCGGTACTTACGGAGCTCCATCAAGATCCCTTTACAGAGATCTCTTTACTGGCTTACCTATCCCTCTGCTGTTATGAGTGTTGGCTGCCAAAAGCCCACAATGTCTCTCCTTCACCAGAAAATCATCCTCAGCAGACAGAAATCTCCTTGCCTGAGAGGTTACCTGCCCTCTACTCCCCCACATGCACTCCTGCCAGGCAACCTACAGCCAAAAACTGATTTCTAAAAGAAATAAAATGAGGATAGGATGCTGGAGGAGGACCACTGACCAGATGGCAGTGAGGACCCATCACTGTGGCAGGTAGAGATGATAGTTCCAGGCATGGGGTGGCAGTGTGTCACCTGTGGTAAACTAAGACAGGACACAGGTGAGGGAGCTGTACAGGCTGGTGCAAAGTCTCTGGCATCTGAGAAGCATACGCAAAGAATAACTATTAAGACTATGGAATTAGTGGCTGTTGCTAAGTGTCACAGATTCATTGAAGAAAGGAAATTATGGTTGTAGATCTCCTAACTGGCAATTTAAAGTGTGAGAGTCAGAGGAAACCTCTTGTCAGGAAGCAATGAAAAACACTTACCTTCTGGAGCCAGAGAGAAAAGGGAGTGATGACCAGAGGATTCCATTGTAAGAGCAGCAGTATTTGAGAAAAGGGTGAATTCTCTGTCAAGGGAGGTCTACTATACCCAAAACAGGCTCCTAATAGGGTAAGAGACATGAAATGTAGAATGTCACACCAATGCCTCTCCCTTGGCACACATATATGGTCACACAGAGGGTTTATTATAACCAACTGACAGAGAAGGAAAATTCCCAAGTTTGGATCACAAATGGGTTGACTTGCTATATGGGTGCAAGCCAAAAGTAAACTCAAATGTGGTCCTGAAAGGTGGGTGAGAGAAACTCCCTCCAATAGGAAGAGATTTGGGCAGTACATCTGGTCATTTGCATGGCAAGAGAAGTGACCTTCATAAGGATATACACACACTCATGGGCAGTGGCAAATGGCTTAGCTATGTCTTGGTCATAGGCCTAGAAGAGCAAGATTGAACTATCAGAGTCAAGGGGGACAGGGAAAGAGGTACATAGACCTATGGGAGAGGGCAAAAAGTGTGATGATAACGTACCACATTTTTTTTTTGAGTTGGAGTCTCACTCTGTCACCCAGGTTGGAGTACAGTGGCATGCTAATGGCCATCACAGCCTTGACCTGCTGGGCTCAGGCAATCCTTCCAGGACCTTAGCCTTCCAAGTAGCTTTCCACCACACCCAGCTAATTTTTTGATTTATTGTAGAGTTGAGATCTCATCAAGTTGCTCAGGCTGGTCTCGAACCCCTGGGCTCAGGCAATCCTCTTGCCTCAGTCTCCCAAAGTGCTGGGATTATAGGCTTGAGCCACCGCATCTGGCCTATGTACTACATTTTACCATGCACCAGAGAGCATCCATTGCAATAGAGTCACTAAACAACAAAGTAGGTAGGATGACTTGGCTAGCGGATGTTGGCCAGTCTCTGTCCTTGCTTCTCATCCTTCTTCTAGTCCTTGCCCAGTATGGGTTCATGAACGGAGTATCACAGTGACAGTGACAAAGTTGTGTGTAACCCTGGCAGCCTTGGCTTCCTCTCTCCTAGACCACTGCTGAATATCTAACCTGCCATCAACAGAACTCAAGCTGAGTCCCTGATATAATAGCATCCCATGAGGAGACCAACTAGCCACTTGGTGGCCAGGTTGCTA